ACATTTTGATAATGATTTTTATCAGATCAGGTTTAATATGTTAAAAATCTGATATAGGGACACATGACTTCCTTGTATCGTCTATTAAATTACACACTTTTTTTGGCTGCATTTCATTTAAAGCTATTTCCTCAAATAATTTTAACTTAATTACCCGATCCTTCAAAGCAAGTTGAAAATGACATAAAAATTACCTTTTTAATTAAATATCCTGGAAGTACAAAACCTATAATATAATATAGGTTTTGTCGTACGGGAGTCAAATTTCTTCTAATTTATTTTTTCATAACGAGTACAAGACTTTCCCAAGTATAGGAATCGGGCGACCGAATGAAAAGTTAAATTTCGTTATTTGTCGAAAATTATGTTTTTTAAAATTTGATATAGCGTCATTTGAAATTTTTCGCGTTAGCGACGCTAAGCCCTATACTGGTTGGGCGGCGAAAGTTCTCTTCTGGGGGGGAATCAAAATAAAAGCATATCTTTTCTGCTTTGTATTCAGTTGAAGTTTTGGTGTATGTAACACTGAACACAGCTTTCTTTAATATGCTTCGAAGAGCCCCCAACTATGTTATATGACGCAGAAGGCCCCTGGAAATTTAAGAGAAGACGGATTCTATATATATGTAATTTCGTTTTCAATGTTTGAAATTTTGTTATTCATGATTTAAATTCAAGTCCCCGTAAAACTTTTTTTTTTTTTTTCATAATTTACATTCAAGTTACTTTAAAACACAATTTTCGGAATTAAACTTCCTACATATGGGTTCCCTCTTTTTTGATACTTCTACTAAATTTATATTAGGAGATAATATAATCAATATTTCTTTAGTAAATAAATTATATATATATAGTAGTATTTATAAAAGAATCTATCGTCTTTTAATTTTAAACATATAAATGTAGTTCAGCAGGACATTTAAGGGCCCTCTAAGCCTTCGGGCCCCTATGCGACGGTATTCTTTGCATACCCTTATTTACGCCTCTGAGTAGTATAATAGAATAACTGTATTATCTTATCTACGTGTATTTTTGTGTACATGGTACGTACGTATTAGTGTCAATAATGTATATAGTGTGTCGCATTTATGCACGCTGCTGTATTGTGTCTAGCTTTTAGTGTATAGTATATTAGTGAATTATTGTATAGCATATTGGTGTATAGTATATTAGTGTGTCCCATTTATGTGCATTGGTGTATTGTGTCTAGCGTACAGTATCTTAGTGTGTAGCATTATGTACATTGATGTATCGTGTCATTGGTGCATTGTGTCTATAAATGTACTCTAGCATCATGTTGTCATGTTTCAAGATCTAAGTACATACAGAGTAACACCTGTAGTAGTATAGTGTATTATTAATATTCACATAAAAGTGCATTTTAAAATATATCGAATTTACGCAGAATCTATGTGTACCAATACTTAATTTTATATATATCGTTATATAGTGTAAGTGTCTACGTATCTTAGTGTAAGTGTCTACGTAACTTAGTGTTTAGTGTAAGTGTCTACGTATCTTAGTGTAAGTGTCTACATAATATCAGTGTATCGTATCCATGTGTAAGTTATTGTAAAATAATAGAATAATTTTATTAATGTGTTTTTATGTGCATATCGTACCCACGTATTAGTGTCAACGTATATTAGTCTATAGTATATTAGTGTGTCGTATTTTGTAGTATATTGTAGTATTAGTGTGTCGCATTATTAGCGTCTATGTATATAAGCGAACTGCAAGTTTCAGCTATAGATAGTTGCAGGGTCCGGACAGCACCCGAGTAGTCACTATAAGCCGTCCGGCCCTGCTGTGACCTGTCACCTGTATCTTACAATCCGCAAACTTCAGTTTAAATACTATCTAACTAATTTGCATTCTGGTGAGAAGTTATAGTAAAGGCTGAAACTGTAATTAACTATTTAGTTTCAAATAATAATCTTGCAAATGCGTTAGCGTTTCGTGGGCAGTGAAGATATAAGTACTAGTTATAATATAGTTTTTATATCCGAGGTTTAAGATATAGTTTAAATCCTAGGTACAATAGTTTTTATATCCTAGGTATTTAGAAAGAGTTTTTTAATCCTAGGTTAATTTAGTAAACAGATACGGCAATGTTATGAAACAACTTTTTAAAATGCCAGTATGAAGTGTGCGATATTTGAGCCCTACCATATAAAATGATGTGCTGGTTGGAATTTTGAAAAAATTTTGGTTAACCAGATAGATGCATCTGCCTTTTTTTCTTTATCATTAGATAATATTCAAGATATATTGAAGACGGAGCAAATGAGTGTTGTTTTAAGACATTTTTATATTGCGAGAGATGATAATTCAGAACCCAAAAAGGTTATAATTAAAGAAGCGTATCTCAGATTATATGCTGTAAAGGATTATTCATCATTCTTTCGAAGGGTTGAAAGAACTCATTCTCAATTTCTTAAACGAAAATTCAATTAAAACCGTGTTATGGGCAAGCATACGACGGCGTTTATGTTATGAGTGGTGTCTATAATAGTTTCCTTCAAAAGATATAAACTATTCAACCAAATGCATAATATGCACACTGTTCATTTCACAACTTAAACCCCGTCATTAATGACGCTGTAAGTGTTTGTAAAAAATTACATCAATTTTGATGTATTACAAACTATATATTTATTATGTGGGGAAAATATAAACCGATGGGATTTATTAACAAATTTTTATAGTCGAATCAGAAACATCTTTAAAAAAAACTAAACCCGACTCGTCCTTCAGGTTAGGACTGCCTCGCTAAATACAGTAAAATAATGTTATGGGGACATTCTGAAAGTTTTAACTGAAATCCAGATTCGCTTCAAAAGAAAAATAAAGGGGGGCTACGGGAAGAAGCACTGCATATACATGGATATAACAAATTTTGAATTTATTGTTATTTTGTATAGTTATGCATAAAGTATTAAATGGAATAAATTGTATTTTTAAAATACTACAGAAAACTAATGTATGTCTAGATGAAGCTACGCAGAAATATAGCGAAACTATGAAGCTATTTTAAACTTATCAACAGAATCCAAACAACTGGCCGAAAAATGGAATATTACTTCAGAATTTCTAACCAAAAGATAAAATAAGATAAAATGTCATTTTGATGAATTTTTGAGGCATCATAAATTTCAGTCCTGTGAAAAATATTTTACTGCGTTTTAAACATTATTTTAGAACAAATAAATTATCGATTTATTGCTAAATTAAATTATGGATTTATGAGAAATGTGAGGGATCTATTTGATTAGGATACTCGTTATATAATCCATGCTAAGGAAATTGAATTAATACAAAACATGTGACAATTTAGGGGATATTTATTCTGAAATATTGTAGCCAGAATTTACTTTACAATTTATAAACGCACTACATTTGTGTAAAGATGTGTAAAGATAAAAATACGACCATTCAAGAATTTGGAAACTTAAAAAAAAAAAAAAAAAAAAGCGACTTTCCTGAAATGAGGACAGTTTTCTTCCTTTTTTTAACGATTTCTTTAACTATTGCTACAGTAGAAAGATCGTTTTCAAAGCAAAAAAGTCATTAAAGAGTATAGAAGAAATACGACTGGACAAACATGATTAAATCATTTCTTACTTCTTACCATCGAGCATGAAAAGCCAAGTAAAATGAACCTGAAAAATGTAATATATTTCTTTTGCCTCAACAAAAGCTTTGATTACGTATTTAATAAATCCATTTATTATTGCGAATGTAACTTGAGTAGTATTTTTAACAATTATTTGTTTTTATTAAGATTGCTTTTCTTGTTAACAAATTTTGTTTGTTATTAAAATAATCCTGAATTGCTGATACGCATTAAATAAAATTCACTTGTTTGACTAAAAATGGATTCTCAACTCATAATTATCTGGGCTAATATGACATTAAGTTTCCCTAAGGGCCCAAAATTTCTAGTTACGTCACTGCCTGTATGTCATTTTAACATTTCATAGGTTTGAATTTTTTTTGGTGCACTTTGAGAGGAGCGAAAAATGGATCGTCCCGGACGGCAAAAGCTTTCGCCACTGGCTTTATGTTATAAATCTCATATGTCAATACCTTAAATTTTACTTAATGCTTTGCTTCTGTTATTTCCGTGAAGACTATTTCTATCACTACACAGGTTAGCTCATCTAATCTTTATTTTGCTTCGATGCACCCTGAATGGAATTGCGATTCATCTTAAAAACCAAAAAGCACCAAAGCCGGGCTCCGGCGGAATTTAACTTGAGTTCTGTTCGTAACACATTATAAAGTATAAAACATATACAGATCATGTTGCTAGTTGCACAAAAGCCACTAAATATGTGACTAAATATATATATATAAATGACGCTGACAACACCTTTCGCTTCTCCGTCATGCAGTTATCATGTATTTATAGTTAACAAGTGCTGCTATGAAAGTTAAGACCTTTAATTTATCATCGAAGCTTATTGGTGAATAGGCAGTAGTGCCGTTTTATGTAATATTGATCTTTATCTTATCTTTAAAATTATAATCGCATTGCTTAACAAAATGAATGATTTAAAACAATAAAATATTTTTTTAATAATTCATATTTTTACTTTTTTTTAGTATTACAGTTAACTGATATATATATTTTAAAAATAGTTTTAATCTCTAATATAACCAACTGATTATTTTTATGCATATTTGTAGCTTTTTTATTGCTAACAAAATATATTTCTAACGTCATGCATTTTGAAACTCTGTGCGAAATCATTTGATTTAAATTAATTATCATAATGACAAGGAATTTCTAAAAATAAATTTTGAATTTTTAGTAACATATTTTGTTTAATTTTGGTTTTTTTAAAATTACCTAGATTGTATTAAAAAATTGATATTCTTGCCAAGAGTTTACCTAAGCGTCAGTAATAAGGATTATTTTTTTAGTGATACAAACATTTTCACAAATTCAGACTGTATAACTTATTTCAATTTCTGGGGAAAAAAAAAAAAAAAAAGTGACTGCGTCTGAGAATCTTATTACCGCTCTCAACAGAATACACACGGAAACGATTTGGCGCCATTTGTGGCTTTATGCCAATGATTTACGAGTTCGTGACGTCAACAGCAGAAGCCAATGATATGTAGCTGCAGCTTTAGCCGTTAGAGCTCGCTACGATCGTGTTTATGCTCAACCAGCTGTGTGCTAAGTAATGGCTCGCAGTGTAACATGGCGCTTCTTGGCTTTTGCTTCGAAAAGGAAGTTTGTCTCGTGTGTGTACTTTCAGTTCTCAATGCGTACATTGTTTTTTGTAGACAAACAAAAGAAGCCACCACTAGGTCAATGAAATTTAGCAGTGAGATCTCATTGTCTAGCAGTGAGAGGCCTGTAAATAAAACAGCTAATCCTTTACGAACTACTACTACTCTTCACCTAGAAGGAGTTGACCTCCGTTCTAATTCGTTTTTAGCTTTTACTAGTGAAGAAGGTGCTATAGGTAGTTTATGTAACGAGAGTTATTTTCAAGTGAGAGATATTCCTATCACGAGCATAGACGGGTCTTCGGCAGAATTTGAATTAAACGCATCAGTGCTTGCAGAACTCAGTACCTCATGGCATCTCTGTATTCGTCAACAAACCCCAAACAACGGTAAATGGACACATGTTGGTAAATACAAGAGATACCCATCTTCAAGTTTTGAAAAGACGAGCGGGAATGGGTAAGAGCAGTAATTTATTCGTTTGTTATTCAGATAATCGTAATAATTTATCTATTTTAAAAGGAAAATTATAATTAGCAATTTATATGTAAATATTGATTAGCATAATTCTTTTTTAACGAGATTTTGAGCAGTGATTGAAGTTTTCGTTCTCCTAAGCTGTGTTCCATTAGATTTAGGCTGCATTTTATGAAATAAGGAATAAAAAAATATTATATTATTACTTTACAATTGTAGAAAACATGATATTTGAATTTAAAAGGTGACAAATCAAAATTCTACATTTTAAGTCAGCAGCTGTCATTTTGTAAATTTATAAGGAAAGTTCTGGGTATAACATTAATAACAAATTTTCTAGCTTCAACTGCTCTGCTAGTTGTCTAACCTATTTACATATAAGATGCTATGTAATTCACTTGAGGAATTTTCAGGCAGTGCTTGTAATTTCAGTTAATGCCAATTGTAATGTATTTTTATGCATATCGAAATGCAGATGTTTACAACTTAAAAATGAATCGGGTAGCTGTCATTAATGGGCAGATGTGCTATCAGATGATAGAAGGGAACAAAGATTCTTCAGTAGACATTGATACCATGTGTGTAAACAAATTATTAGAAATTACCAGTATGTATGCTGAAAGGATTCTTACCTGTTAAAAATTCATACACATGCAAACATTAAAAGGCACATGAAAATTTTATCTAAAAGTATATATTGTGTGCCATAGTATGAATTTTTCCAGTAGTTTGTAACCGAGTTACTTAATATGAAATTATTTTATACATTAGTAAGTATTGTCATGCATATCTGATGAATGCCAAATGACATGAGAATTATATAGTGTATATGTGCTCTAAGTAATTTGTTTAGGTATTATTATTATACCGATTATTTCTTGAAATCTGAAAATATAAAATTACTACAAGTCTGTTAATCTTTTGACAGTAATTTGAATGTAAAAGGGAATGGCTGTTTTAATTGATCACACATAAACAAACATAATTCATCAGGTGAAGTAGAAAGCTGTAATTTTAGAGCTTGACATATTATTACAAATGATGAAAAAAGTAATAATGTAACTTATCCTCTCATTGGAAAAAGAATATCATAAATTGTACTTGGTAAATTTCTGTAGCAAATCATTTCTTTGCTTATAGAAATTACCTTTTCAGTACTTTTTTATTATTATTATTTTTTTTTTATATATATATATATGCTTGCTTGTACTCATTTGCAGTACAATTCATGTCACTCGTATAATTTTGTATACCTTATCAAAACTGTGTAATCATATTTAAGCAGCTTGTTTATTTTTCATGTTTTCATTGTATTTTGTTTATAAAATGATCATGAATATTTTTATTGGCTCTTTTCATCTGCCTGCATCGTAAGATACTTTCAGCAAGTAAATCCCTTTTTGTGCATTTAAATAACTTGAGGAATAAGGATTTCTTTACCCAAATATTAAAGCTCATAATAAAATTTAAATAAATAACCAATAAGGGCTCCAAAGCATTTATTATCATTTGGAAGTTAAGAAAAGTTAAGTAAGTCATAAATAGAGAAAGTTTGCAGTGAGTGTATGAAGCATTTCATATTTTAAGTTCCTATTTACCATGTCTTCCCCTCCTTTTTCAATTATTTTATATTTCATCATTTGAAGATCTTGTAAACAGGAGTTCTGTTCTGGCTTTAAACCTGAATATTAAGATGAGCATATTAAATATGTTGATTTTATAATAATATTAGAGGGAAATACTTCTGAGATTGATAATTATTTGAGAAAGAGAATAAAATATGTATTAGAGAATTTAAAAAATATATTGCTTAACTGTCATATAGATTAGATATTTTTATTTTTTAGCAAGTTCTTTTAACTTTTTTCTATCTGTGGATTTATGTAAAATTTTTTTCTGTGCCGTGTTTTAGGTTTAAAAAAAAAAAAGTGTATTCTCAGTTATTCACACATATGTAAGTGTTTTCCGGCCTCTTTTCTGGGAACTTAAAAAAAAAATTTTTTAGAGTACTTATGAGTAAGATTTAAAAGTTACTAAAAATCTTGCAATATTTTATCTGTTTTTTCATATCTAAAATTTTTTTCATATTTCTAAAAAGGAAACAATTGTATACAATGAATTTTGAAAATGTTAATTTGAGTTTCCCAATACTGGTGAAGTAAATTTCTGTCTGCAGTAAATGAAATCATAATAAAATTAACAGAATCAAAAAGTGTGGGCTAACTATAAATTTTATTCCTAGAAATGTTTTTCGTTGATTGGCAGACTTGTTAAATTTGATGCAGGAAGCCACTTGTTTCAACCTCAAATTAAATCCTTGCCCCCTCATTTGTTTCTTCAGATTAGAAGAAATTCGTTTTTCCATCATAAAAGTGCAAATGATTGATATGAAGTCTGCTATTGATATCTATGAAACAAATTATGTGCATGTGCTTCGAAAAAAATTAATGTTTCATTCCTAGTGCCTGGTTATTACCTTGACAAATAATTCAGCATGGTAATTTCACTGATAAATTTTTCCTTCTGGTATGAATTGCTCTTATGTTGTTACTAAGTGTTAGGAGTAAAATTTTAAGTACGTGGAAACAAAATAATAAAGTAATATCATCTCAAGCAGAGCTTGTGTCAGAGCCTGGCTTCATTAGTTCTTAGTGTTTGTGCTAAATTGTAATTATAGCCAGAGCACACCAGAACCCTAAATAAGAAAGCAGTGGTACTTCTTTTATGTAAGTGGATATTAATTTCAGCAGAAATTTGATCTTGAAAATTTTGTTTTTGATAATAAACTTATATTAAAAATTGATTTTAAGTTTTGAATGCATGCCTCTCTTTTTTGGGGGGGGCAAATCCTTAGACAGATAGATGTCAATACTTTTAAGGAAAGAAAAGCCGCACCAACATGTCAAAGGCTTATTCTTCAGTACAATGAATTTCTGACAGTGGGTAAATTTTTCATTCCAGCGTTAGCGTCTTCTCACATTAAAAAGAGCACCCACAGACTATTTGAAATGATGTAACCAAAGACAGGAGATAATAATTGCCACTTGTCACTTTTTTCTCAGCTAACTCTCGGATTCAGGAAAAATTTGTTCCCCTGTCACATTATGCTTGACAGCCAGAATTATATTGACAGGAGCTTGTGGTCAGAAAATGTTGGACTCTTCTTTTTTTTTTTTTTTTTGTTTTTTATACCTACATCATATCCATTAAAATTTTCTCTGTATTCTGTTACTGTTTATAGCATTCTCTGTAGTCTCGTTGGTGATGTTTTAACCATTTTCTTTGATATCCTGGAAAAAGAGTAGTCTTTATTTCTATCCTTCCTTGAAGTAGTACATTATATTCAGAACTTAAATTCAACTAGAGACCAATTTTAATGTGAAATTGTAACTCCAGCCGGAACCTCAAATAAGTTAAGGTCCAGTACTTTATTTTAGTATTTAACAATTTACCATTTATTCAATAACTTATTACATTATTTATCACTTTTTATGTTATTAAATTTTAACTATTAAATTATTCTGGCCTTTAATTATTTTCATAATTAATTAATTTTTTATTATGAATTATTTTATATATTTATTTGTGTTCCTTTTTCCTGACGGTCTTCCATAGAGCTCTGGCACTTTTAATGAGCCCTAATTTTATGTACTTCATTATGTATATTATTTATTTTTTACTTTATTGTTAAATATGCAATGCTTCCTTCTACTGCTTTCAGCAGAAATAATAATCTATTCATACTTAGTGATTATTTGATAGCTGACAACTATGATTTTTTTGCTGTCAGTTGATTAGGGTTATCGGAGAAAATTCTATGCATGTTTAACAGTAGCTGGCAGAAACCTAATGCTTTCATGGCTAATCTTTAGAATATGGTAACAGGTAGTTTGGCGACATTTTGGTAAGGCGATAAAGATTACTAGCTAGGACTTTAGCAATAATCTGAGAAGTACACAGTTCGAATGGCAGATTATTTTGTCTCAGAGAAATGAGAGATTGAGACATGTCGTGACATTTTCCGGAAAATTCTGATCGTGATTTTAGCTAATAAGCACTTAGAAACAATTTCGTTGCTAAAGTGCAGAATCGTCCACTTATTTGTTTGGCGCTTTTTACAAGAGTAAGAACTGCTGGATTTTTGTCAATTTTCTTTGACTTTTTAAGTGAAAATAAGTCGATGTGTACATAGATAAAGTCAAGAGTGTGCGCAATGCCATTTTTGTGCAATTCTGGGATGTTTTTTAAAGAGAAAATAGGTCGACGTGTACATGGATAACGTTTATGTGCAATTCTTAAAAACGCGGCAAGCAGGCACTCTCAATTTTGCACCTAATCTTCGTCGTAATTAAGCATTTTTTTTTCCATAAAAGTTCTAGTATAAGCGTAATTCGGCTAGCAGATTGTTGGAAAAAAAAAATGTTGAGTAAAAAAAAAAAAAAAAAAAAAAAAAATGCCTCTACTTCGTGAAAACAAAATGGCGTCCAAAACAAAACTAATAGGTTGCTGTAGCAGGGTTGGTCGCCAAAAAATCGCCAAGTTACCATAATGTAATGATTCACCGCTTTCATATATCTAAAGTTATATAATCAGCATGTATTGCTAGAAATTAAATATTTCCAATCCAATATATGTCATCTTATGTAATATTATGGATACTTTTTATCCAATCACTGATCAAAATTTCAATAAAGAACAGATTCTGCATCTCGTACTGCTGATTAATGCATATTTACTTTTCCACTTTCCCTTGCTTTGCTAACATGTGCCACTCATCTCTGCTTTGTTCATTGTCTAAAGATGTGATAAGCTCCACAAAATTCTGAAGTGCCAATCGCACCCCTAATGATGTATGAAGAAGAATCTGTGTATAAAGAATTAGTTATCCAGCAGTAAAATGATATTGTCAATATCTGTCTGTAGTTGTCATCAATATGTATACTCAATAAACCTTTCTAATTCTATTACAGCTATCACCCAAT